CATTCGAAACTCGATTTTCAGCTTCTAGAAGACATGTACTTTCTACATTCGAGGACGAGACAGAATTGTCTTGTGATAATTTTTGTGGCAATGCTGTTTCCAGTGGTAGTACTGGTATTAACTGACAATTGTTTTTGTCATGCTCGGAACTTTCCAGAACAGTATCTATAAATCAGGCCATTTTTACGACTGAATGGTACTCAAAACATCCGCTTCTTTCCGTTGGACGCTACTTATAGTGTCATCACTAACTGGTTCCCGGTAATCAGCATGGTAATACTTGAGTCATACCCTCTTAGCAGCTCTACACGGGAAAACCAAACCTACAAAATTTGAAAAAAAAACCCAAAACATCAATTATGCTTTTATTTTTATTTATACATGCAACTAGACGAAAGCTGAACAACAAGGATAACTCCGGTGTGCTCGTCAGTGTAGAAAGATAAAGGAAGAAGAAAGAAGGAAGAGTGATATGTAAACAGAGTGAAGAACAAACAAGTAAAACAACAAGTAAAAAACCTGAACTATTACTGTAAACAGCAACAAACATCTGAATGAGCAAATTAAATTTAGCTAGTTCTGATGATGGGCTAATGAAATGGCCTTATTGACCCCTTGTGGTTTTCAGTAGTAACTTGTGTTCGAGATGCCTGTTGCTCTTTGTTGTTTCTGTGGTTGTTTATTATGTTTCATTCATGTGCGCTGCACATGCGATAAAGTTCAATTCCCAGATTCATGTTTAGACGAACCGAATCAAGAAAATGTCACCAGTAAGTTTACAGCCAACGATAAAGTAATTCTATTGTGCAGTATACAGTACTTCATGTACGTTAACAATAGATAAGCCCTGAAATACCTTGTATCCAAGGTATTGCATGAAATCTAGACTTTGCTTTCCATTTACGAGCATACTTCGCCACAGTTTCATCAAGAAAGCTGCCGTTCCCAATCATTCCTGGTAGTTTAAGCTGACCTGCTCTCTAGGTGAGAAGTAGATAGCAGTCTAGGAAGGGGTCAAAGCTATTCCGTTGAACCCTCATTTACACTTATTTTCCACTTTCCTCTTTGCTCGAAAAATCCTCTCATTGGCCTGAGGATTACTGCTTGAGGGTTCCCAAACTACACTCACACCCAATATCCCCCGTGGCGACGTGCCTGTGGTACAGTAGGATCGGAATTCACGACGCGGCGAGAGAGACGCCGCACGAGTGTTGCAGAATGCAGCAGCAAGTAAGAAGTACAGGAACAAAAGAACTGACATGGAATAGTGCCAAAAACAATAATCGCATATCGATTGAGCTGTATGAAGAACGCTAAAGCTATAATAGCGAAGCGAATGGTCCGCGACCGCCGTGTGCGGCGAATCGATTACACAAAACCGATCCTATTGCCCGTCTCCGTGACGATGTCTCACAATCAGACAGAACCGGGATATCACAGAAGTGTTCAAATGACTGGTCATTCTGAGACACGGATTATTCCTACTCACTTGTATATACTCTGTACTCTGAGCAGAATTCGTGTGAGTACAACTGAATCGTATATCAACGTCATGCCGTTTTCTTTTCATGTTCCAACCATTAGGCTGACGGAATACAAAAGAAAGTAATGCGGTTTCACATGCGTCGTTAGATGTGATTCAAACAGTTTTTGCAATTCACGACGTTTTTGAACATCGCTAATTAAAGATGATTTAAAACTTGACATTCAACGTTCGTGTTTCCTAAGATGAAGTTGGCTTTTTTTCGCTTTTTCATAACCCATTTTCCTGAGGACCTACAGCACTTCATAAATGCTCTACACATGGGAAGTAAAGAAGTAAGGTAAAGAGAGAAAAGCAGGACAGAAAAGAAGCGATAATAATTGTAAAGCAGTAAAACTATTTTATCTCTGACACATCTGATTCATAACCACCCATCTTCGAATTCTTCGCTGGGTTCCAGCTCATTTGAATGACATGCTCAGTCGTCGTTCGTCAAAGTGCTTCTTCGAGTATATTTCTTCAGATGGATGAAGCAGTTCGGACTTCAGTTAGTGGTTAGAGCCAGATTTCTAGCCGCTCCATGTTTTCTGAACCAGCAGCTTCACATGAACGTTATGATCTTTCTACTTATATAACTATTCATGGATCACATCGAATGTGTACTGTAGAAGTTCAATAGAAAGTCAGTAGCCTGATCCAAAAAGGCCTGGTCAGCAAAGGACGTTCCAGACCTCCTTCAAAGCTGACCACAGCCCTTCGGTTATGTACCGTAGTATCGTTGGGGACACATCGAAAGCCTACGCCAGTTCGATCCAGTCTCTCTTCCCCAGCTTTTGGTCAGGCTCCAATTGACTATTGGATACATCAGCTTTGAATCGAACTTCATACTCCGCAGAGCCATTTCGGACATAACTGAGGAAAGATAATGAGTACCCTGTTAATTCGATAAAGAAAAGTAAAGAGCAGTCAACCGCCGAAAACCTGTGCAGACGTTCAAAAAAGGACTGCGATTGCAAAACACGGTATTCCGTACTTTGTATGATGTGAAAGGAGAATCACATCTCAAAAAGTCTTAGAAAAGAAGGCAGCGAAACAAGTTTTTTATTTTATTTAATTAGCTAAAACTCTATTCTTGGGAGGTCATCAGCAAAAAGCATTTTCCTCCAATGATGTCCGAAAAAAACTTCGTCGTGTGAGTAAGACCGTTGCAAATTGTTTCGCCGAAATTGTAAAAAGGTCAATTCAGCTAACATGAACATTTTTAGATGCGTAATCTCCTCTCTAGAGGTAGACCACCCAAGTGTTTCCAGTTTCAATACTTTACAAGTTTGGTGAACTTATAAAAATAACCGATGAGTCAGCAAGGTCTATGCCCAACTCAGAGCTACCGTAACCAACAATTTGACTTTGGAGCTTACTTGTAAAAGCTGGTATAGCCGTTTCACAGGCCTCATGGTGAATGACTGCTTTTTTACTGTTTTTTTTNTTTTTTTTACGTCCGAGAGCGTTGAGACGACAGAGGCTGGTACATTGTTTAAGATGAAACATTTTTCTCTCATCGTCCATACCATGATTCCAGTTCTATGACTCATTAAACACCTAAGAACAAACTCGGACAACAGTCATTTCGCGTCTACCACCGTATTCGCACAACAGCATTTTTCCCCGTTCTATATAAGCACTTCTAACAACTGTCTACTTCGAACATGAGGTGCACACTTCAACTTTCCGTTTTCGCTTGCCTCCTCTACACAGCTTCATCTTTCACACGGTGAGTAAAAGATCCCTTCATTTTTAGTAATTTTTACGTTTTGCCTATCGTTTTCATCGTTGCAAGTCATCCATCCTTGTTAGTAGATCCGTCATTTTCAGGTTTAAAAGGGGTAGCTACGGTGCGCCGTATGTACCGCCACCAGCACCATACGTAGCACCCGCACCAAAGCCGTATGTACCGCCACCAGCACCATATGTACCGCCACCAGCACCGAAGCCGTATGTACCTCCACCAGCACCATATGTAGCACCGAAGCCGTATGTACCACCACCGGCACCATATACACCACCAAGGCCATATGTACCGCCACCAACGTATGGAACACCGTGTTCGTCGTACGGATGCGGAGGAGGACCTTTTGGTTCATTTTCTGAAACTGGCGGCGGCATGAGCAGTTCTGCTGGTAGAGCAGGTCCCCCAGGACTTGGAGGTTCGATGGGAGGCATGGGAGGTAGAGGAAGTATGGGAGGTATGGGAAGCATGGGTGGCATGGGAAGCAGTGGCATGGGAGGTATGGGTAGCATGGGAAGCAGTTCTATGGGAGGTATGGGAAGCATGGGAGGTATGGGAAGCAGTTCCATGGGAGGTATGGGAGGTATGGGAGGCATGGGAAGTGGCTTCGCATCCGTACCAAGTAGTGGAGGTGCTCCAGCTGTTCTTGCAGCGGAACCAGCACAAGAAAAGATCGAAGCTGCGAAGGAAAAGGAAAAGGAAGAAGAGGAGATACTGTAATTATTTTTGTAGTTTTTTAATAACCGTTAATATCACAACTTAATTCGTAAAAAGTATTAACTGAACTATGTTTGGTTGTTGTCCATGAACAGATTCGAGGAATTGTTCAAATTTGACGTGTAACAAAAACATAAATTGAAAATCAATAATGTCTGTTGTCAGTATATGTCACCTTACTTGCTGTGACTTTAACTCTTTGATTCAATTTGTCAGGATTTTTCATGTCATCCTACGGAACTAGTTTTCCAGTTAGTACTGTAATATTGTATAAAAAAATCAACGAAGAACACATTAACATTCTCTCAAATCATATCTTTTCCTTTGTAAAGTGTATGACCGCAGAATGTGGACAAATGTGTGGGACATGAATGCTGTAATGTCAATAAAGCTTTGACAGTTTTAAACGTCAACCTTTGAATGTACCTTGAATTTCCGTTTGCATGTCAGTCATAAATTCTTCAGAGTCGTCCTATATCTACCCTTGTATCGCCAGACCAGAACAGAACCCCACCCCCGAGGAGCAGGTCTGGCAACCTGATTGATGGGCATTACGGGCATTTCAGGAAAACTGGGAGCTTTTAACCAAAAGCCTTGTCCATTGATGGGGTGATGTGCCAAAAACAGGCAGTAAGTACCTTTACTGCTAGAACTACAACAAGTTCTTGTTCCGAGGGTTACAAAAGAGCGATGCCACAAAGTTTAAGAGTTTACTTTCATTGGGAATAAGTTTCGCAAGGTGGAGTAGGTTTTAACTGCGAAAATGGGGCTCTGCCTGGCTCTCGAGTAATTTCTCCTTACTTTTGGTTCCGAATTGGAATGCTCGAACCTATCACTCGATACCGAGGACGCAGTTTAACTTACGCTTGCAAAAGGCCTAAGGCCTCGCTTGGCCCCAGCCTAAGGCTAAGGCCAAGCGCATTATATCCCCTGATAATGAGAGCAGCTCTAGCTCCTTTGAGAAATCCGAGATCTACTTTTCAATGAGCTAAACTTTCAGTGAGCCTTGGCCCCAAACTCAACCTGTCGGTCACCTGATGGGCGGCATATGCCAAAGGGAGTACAAAGCCATTGTCACCACCTTCCAGTGAGATGGGGGCATGCCCACTGCTGACTCAAGTTAGTTTCAGTCGACGGGTTCGCTACAGAAAAGGGGAAAAAATATTATGGCCAGGATTCCAGCTGGGTAACATTCCTAGAGACAGGAATCTATCCTTCATATTATGATATTGACCACATTTTTTATTCCTGTTCAAATCAATTAGCAGGCATAGTTCCAGTTCTGGGCAGCCTTCTTATCCTGCTTCGTGTGGGGCCGTCTAAATATAATAGATGCTAGATACTACGAAAACCACTCTGAAGCGGTTACGCTGTTTTCTTTCGTTTGTTCTTTCGATACAGCCTGGCAGAAGAGGAAAATTGGGGCTATGTCGAACCAACCAAGTGGACAGTAGTGTCGTCATTTGTCGGAACAAGTTGTAAAAGTAGTCAGTCATTACCTTTAAAGCAGGAATTAGCATCGAAAATATAAATTACTGCCTTGTTTCTGAACCTTGCCCTTATGAGTGGACGGCCTAAAGCTGACTAATAACTACTAAGGAGGCTATCAAGCAAAACTTACACTTGTAGTTTGACTCCGGCCTGATGTCCTTTATAACGACTAATCGGTTGAAGAATGTGATGATCCTTTGGGATCAGGAACTTATTACGTGGCTACGACTTGGCACCGTCATTCAGAAATTTTCAGATGCGCTGGAACCGAATTCACTGCCCCGGTTGATAAAACTAAAAACCGGCGCAGATTGGAGAAGAGATTTTTGGGGCAATAAATAGCCAACAGAATCATACATTGCAGTGTTGTTGTTGAACTTTTTTGAAGGATATTGTATTTAAAAAAATTTGGCATCCTTCATTGGATGGTAGTGCAGATGTCCAAGTATTTCCTCTCCTCCCTGCCTCAATGACTGAACCGTTCTTTTGGTAATGAGCTGCTACTATCGATAGTTACAAAGATCTAAAAATGGCTATCGTTACTGCTTTCTCAGCACCGAAACGATTGGGCTTTGATTAGAAACGGTTCGTGAAAAGATTTGACCAACGGGATCATTGCATGGAAGGTACTGTAGTCAGGAACCCACGGGAATTCAATTCTCACAGGGTCGATGTTTTGAGCTCACGAGGATAGTCCAGGATAAGAAGGTCATTTGAGTGGTTTTTCGAAATTGGGCTCCAGTGTGTAACCAAAATGGAGACCACAACTCCAGTTGTAGCCTATCGTATGAAATTCAATCCGATCCCGATGCCGATTGGTAGCTGCCCTTTCTAGTGCTGCTGCCTAGAAAAATACCTGTCACATGAACCTAATGACCCTCAAATTCCGCAGCATTTGTGCTGCAAATTCCAGAAAGAAATTGCTTTATGGCTCCCGCTGCCCTCAATGCTGTGCTAATTTTGTACGAGGGGTATCCTCTTTAAAGGCACAGTTCAATGGGCGGGTATGTCAATGACGTGTCCGCCTCTCATTTGATGTCACGTCAGGCAGTCTGACGTGACATC